TCTCGTTCAATCCTTCACCATTACAATCCTTTCCCCCCTCCCGTGAAAATAGAACGTTTCAATAATAAGGACTTTTTCTTCTTCTTCTTTTTGGTATCTTTCTTTGGTGTTCTTTTATTTTATTCGAGATCAGTTCCATCGTTTTGTCAGATCGAACGGTTACGCTCTTGGGGAGAGCTCGCCATTTGTAAGAATCTGTTTGACCCACTAATTTCAAGGATAGTCAACGATTCAAATGGGAAGCACATTTCTCGTAATAGCACTCGAGAGATGCAAGAAACCACGACCTCTCGATGGTTTTACTGCTCTCGTGTGTCACGAGTAATTTTCCAACTGGCGATTCGATTTTCCAATTGACATTTCCCACCGGCACCTGTTATTTGTTCGACTTTCTTTCTTCGCGGATTAACTTCACTCACCTCCTCTTCGTCCGGGGCTCATTTTCTCCGCGGAAATTGCGCTAAAAAAAAAAAAAAAACTGTTTCCTACGTAGTATTCCTAATTCACGCGTCGTCGCTTCTTCGACCTTGTCTCTTTCAACAGTTTCTCTTCGTTACGCATTTTTTCGCTTTTTATCGATTTATTAATTCATCCTCAATTCGATTAAATCTCTTTCTTTTTTACAGCGTTCTATATCTTAAAGCTCGGAATACGTATATAAGTTTAGATTGAAAATGAAACTGTTAGAAGGTTAAACTTGTTACACTTGCTTCACTTTTCTTCCCCTTACAATATTTGTTTAAAAATCGGGCGAAACATCTTCTTCTATGTTTCTCTGGTTCTCTTTATGTAAGTCGTATTAAGCCAAGATCCCTTTTACACCAAGCATCGATAAACATTTCAATGAAAAAATGTACATTCTTACATCTCTATAAATACGTTACTTTTAGGAACCGATATAATAAACGAAATACCATATAATATATTGCATCTATCTCCCATAAATATTACTCGTAATAATACTTTTTCATAATAATCGAATTAGAATTATAGCGATCCCGTGTCGTCGTTCGCAACAACGCACGCCATTTTGCCTCCCAAATTCGCCATTTTCTCGAACCGATTGCACTGGT